GGGCCACTTCTACCACTCCAATAATTAGTCCTAATAATAATTAGGGGTTTCTATCTTGAGTTAGAAACTCAACAGGAACTTCAACTACGGCGGCACAATCAGTAAGGAGGCCGACGAGTGCTTCAGGTAAGTTTAGTATGTATTTTGTGAATATGAACATAGGTCATAGGATTATAATTATTATTATATTATTATTATTATTGAAATTAGACGAGAGAGAGACAGAGGAGAGCATCACGCTTCCGGTAATTTTCGAGTGAGTTTCAATTTGTGTCTACTTATAATATTGTTGCATATAGGAATTAGTATTATAATATTATTGGGTTGAAAAAATTAAGAGGTAAGTTGCTGAAAATTGGGTGAATTGTTCGTGCTTTTATGACCGAGGATAATAACAAAATTGAGTGACCCAATCATTGACAATGATTGGAAGTGATGGTAGAATGGACTTGATTAGCATTGGCAGCGATAGTTGAATGGAAGTAATATGGGTTAAAATATTATTTTGTTATTAGAGGTTACGAATTTCTATTGATTTTGGAGTTGCAAAGTTCTTCATGGTCATCACATTATGATACATATCCATGTTCCAGCGTATTGGTGTGATGTACTTAAATTTTAGGGATACTATATTATATGAAAGTAATTAGGGTTGTACTATTTGGAGAAATTATGCCTTAATCCTAGGCTTGAATTTGAGAAATATGAGAGTTGGAATATTAAATGGCATCAAATTAGGAAATTGATTATAGAATTAGGTGAGTTTTGGAGTCTAGGCTAGACATAGAATAATATGAGTGTTTATAGACTCATTAACTTACAAATTATGCATATATATTTGATAGATTGGAAAGGTTCGAAGGCATTGAGGAAAGGAAAAGTATTGAAGAAGTAGCTTGCTTGACTTCGGTTCTTCGGTGGAGGTAGGTTATGGTTTATTCTATTTGATAGATAAACTCTTAATAGCGATTCATATGCATTGAATGATACTGTGAAGTTCTCTATGTACTTGATTGTGTGATTGCGTGACTTGGTTGTGTGGTTTGTGATTGGTCTAAAATCCTGAGACCGTGAGATTTATAATCTGAAAACCTCTCTATCGAAGTGATGAATAAAGAAGGTTTGATGTAATATTATTAATGAATTGAAAAGTTGTGATAATAAATGATAAATTAATAATATTATTGGATCGGAGTGTCACGTTCCGACACGATATTTTTGGATCGGAGTGTCACGTTCCGACACGGTATTTTTGGATCAGAGTGTCACGTTCCGACACGGTATTTTTGGATCGGAGTGTCACGTTCCGACACGGTATTATTGGATCAGAGTGTCACGTTCCGACACGGTAACATTAAAGGGAAAAGATATTGAACTAACTTAATGTACTCAATCTCAATGAACGCATTTCCCAAACGAGTGTGAAGTGGAGGCATGAGTCCTCGTGTGTGTGTTTGATATTGTGATTGATTACGTACTTGCTTCAACTGTCACTTGTTCATGTTGTTGTTTCCTATCACCTGCTAAGTGCTATAGTTGACTTTATACTATTATTCATTGTATATTAGTTTCTATTTTGGGTTGGCCGATGATACCTACTCAGTACATGTTGCCTCGTACTGAGCCCTACTTGTATTTTTCTTTGTTTTCCTTTTATGGAGTGCAGCGAGTGTACCAGCGAATTTGACTCGCCCTCAGCTCTAGCCAGTCTCAGCATATCAGGTTTAAGGGTGAGCTATTTATTCGAGCTTGTGTTGGATTCCCTCGGTCATGACTTGATGTCCATAGTTTTCGGACACAAATTACTTTATTTCATTTATTTCGTTGTCTTGATACTCTTAGACTTAGTATTTAGAGATTAGATGTCCTTGATGTGATGACTTTCAGATTTTGGGGATAATATGTAATAGACTTTAGAGGTTTATTTGATTGGTTACTTAAATAAGTTTTGGAGCTTCCGCGGTATTGTTGTTATTCGTATTTGAATTATTGGTATATGTTGGGGTTTAGGTTCCTTGGTCTGCCCACTTAGGAGGTTAAGTGTGGGTGCCACTCATGACTCAATTTGGGTCGTGACAATTTTATAGGCTAAATAATTATAAACAGTTATAAAAAATGAATAGTTTTTATCTTTTCATCTTCCATTTTCATTTACTTAAATTTATATTAATGTAATGGATGTTATAAAGGGCATAATTAATCGGGTATGACATAAATACATTTTTTTTAAGTACAAATAAAAAATACAAAACAAAGATAAAATGTCAAAAAAAGGAAAAAAATATGAATACAAATACTGGTCATAGAGAGATGCCACATCAAATTGTCAATATTCAACTTTATATATACATATATAGGTTCATGCCCTTAGATGTTATTTTATTACTTTAGCTGGCATCGACATTTTTGTAAATCTGATATCTACTTTGGAACATTTTATAATGTGGCATAGGCTGACAATTCAGATCATAAATTTAAAATAATAAAATTTAATTTATTATAATACTAATATCAATATCATAAAGATATATATATATATATATATATATCATTTAAAAAAATATATAAAAAGTATTATGAATTGTAATAATTAACCGTTTTTTTTTTAAAATCATATAACTAATTTGATTTACACTCCAAAATTCATAGGTGTCACATAATTTACACATTAATTCTTCATTACTTAATATATGTAATTATATCAATGACATATAAATTGAAATTAAAAAATACATATTTTATTTGAAAATCACGTAATAGTACTATAAGATATAATAATCAACAACTTAACATATTTAAAAAATTTAGTTGACTCTCCAAATTCCATATGTCTCATGTAATTGAGACAAAGAAAAACATATATTGGTTTAAAATTAATAAAAATATTATAAATTATAATAATTAACAACTTAAAATTTATAAAAAAAATCCTTTCAAAATTTTTAGTTGGCTCTCCAAATTCAATCGGTATTACAATAATTAAAACATAGAAATTAACATAGATTGGACTCCTGCTGACATTTATGTTTCCTTTTTCTAAATTTTTTCTTTTATACTTTATATAAATAATTTTTTTATGTAAAAATTATTATAAATCATAATAATTAATAGCTTAAAATATTTCAAAACATATAAAAAGTTTTTGTTAACTTTCAAAATTTCATCTATACCGCATAAATTGGGAGAAATATAGATATATAGATATTTTAAGTTGCTAATTATTGTGAGTTAAAGTACGTTTTATGTAATTTTCATATATATTACTCGGTCCTGATTTATGTGATACAAATGAAATTTCAAAAGTCAATGAATTTTTTATAAGTTTTTTTTTATATTAACTTGTTAATTATTGTGATTTCTAATATATTTACATAAAACATACTCTAAATACAAATAATTAGCAACTTAAAATATATAAAAACATACTAAAAAATTGATTAATTTCAAATTTCATATGTACCACATAAATTAAAACAGAAACAGTAACATATATTGGGCCCCGTGCTGGCACGGGGTCTCATATCTAGTTTAAAAATAAGTCAAAGTAAAACAAACATAATGATTTTGTGTACTCCTCGATATCAACTATATTGAAAAATAGTTAATATTTTTTTGGGTATCAGATAAATTGAAATAAAGAGAGTAATATTTATTTATATTAGTAAATTAATTAAGATTAAGAATGTTTTTGTCATGTATTTCCAATATATTTTGTTAGATCTTGTTCTAAAACACTTTATTTATCAATCTAAAGTTTTAAGTAATTTAATTCAAAGTTCTAAATATTTTTATTTTTAAAAACTTTGAGAAATAGAAATAAAAAAAGAGATAAGTTTCAGAAACACACCTAAACTATACATTTTTTGTGAGTTTCATACCTAAACTATCACTTATTAGTTTGAGAAACACAAATCTCTCTTTTATACCACTCTCATCATGGTGCGTATAATACACTCTCTTTTATTTTAAAAAATTATCTCACACTCCACATGGACAAACATTTCACTTTGACAATAAATAAATAAATTATTAATATTAGTTAAAATTAAAGATTAAAATTATTATCCCCAAAAAACAATATTTTTTTATAAAATAAAAAAGTAAAATATTTTTCTTCCTCTCACCCTCCCCCCCGCCTTTCCAATCCTAATTTAGATATTGTTTTATTTAAAAATAATAATTTTATCCACTAGTCCACATAACCCTTCGCTTCCAAAATGTTTTCTCGTTTTGTGTTAGATATAGATATATATATATATATCAAAAATATTTTGTTATGCGCCACGAGACTTTTTTAAAATAAATTTTTTATTTATGTTATATACGGTACACAAGTAGAAAAAACTTCTTAAAAATATATGTACATATATAACACAAAATGAGAAAAATGCAAAATAAATAAATAAATTAGTAGTGGAGGGTTAAATAGGATGGGGTAGAATTTTTTTTGGGAATGAGTGGGTGTTTTTTTTTTATTACTTTTTTTTGGGGGGGAGGGGGTGTGAAGAAAAAAATATTTTATAAAATAATTTGTTTTTAAAAAGGACGGGGGATTGTGGGGGGGGGGGGGTACGGGGGGAGGTGGTGGAATGGGGTAAGAAAAATAATTTAAGTTTTATTTTTTAAAAAAATATTTTTTGGGGATAATAATACTTTAATTTTTAATTAATATTAATAATTTATTATTTAATTTTTGCCAATATGGAATATTTTATCCATGTTGAATGTCATGTGTCAAGGTTTTTTTCAAAGAGATAAGTTTGAAGATCTGAACTATTGTTAGTGAGTGTGAGTTGTAATAGGGACAACAATAACATACTCAGTACAATCCCACGAAAAGAAACACATTGCCAATCTAAAATAAAACAAGCTAAGAAAAACACTCTTTTCTTTTCTCTTTTACAGGATAATTGGTTGCACTACATTTGCTTACTGAAATGTCCATGTAAGGTGTAACTCCACATTTGGGCGATAAAATGCATGATCCAAATCCATACTTGTTATGCATCAAACTTCTTGATATATGTTGAGTGTCTATCAACAACAAGCTCAACCAACGGAGACTCGACTTCAGCCCCTGCCCGAGTGCAGTCCCTGCGAACTGTGACTTTTTCCTGCTCAGTGACGACTATAACTACCTCTTTACGGGTTGATAGTTCATTAGCTATCACCATATGCATCTTGTATTGTTTGAGGGCCATATTAGCCTTTGCTAAAAGGATATCTGTGTCTGTCTCTAGCTGTCAAATAGTAGATATTGGAAATCAGTAATGAAACTATACCCCTGATCCCACTTGTGAGATTATACTGGGGTACGTATGTTGTTATTGTAGTCACGAAACCATATGATATACTTCCTAGCAAATGAAGCTTTGACATAGAAATTCAAGTCACCACTTCTTTACAAGTAGAGAATTTTTTTCCCCGAGACAGACAATTATTAAATTTCGTAACTTTACCAATCCATACAAGATGATCACCAACCTTAAAAGATATGTGGAAGGCCATTGGTGCCCATTCATTCCTAAGCATGGAAAGCATTTTTGGTACTTGGGTGAGTCGTATATCTAGAGGACCCGATGCTGACTGGATTTTATGTAAAGCCTGTGAAGAAGAGAGAACATATAACAAATAGAGCAGATTTAGAGGAAACAGTAGATACAACTCTCTTTTATAAGATGATTAAGATGACATGTTATATAACTATCAGTAGCAACATAATGATCTAGGGCAATCGAAGACAGGAAAGAAGGAAAAGTATAACTCACGAGAAGCAATAAGAAAAAAAGAGAGATAAATTCAAGAACATAGATTATTACCATGCTTTCCCACGGAACATAAAAATCAGAAACTGCAGCTGCCAGAAAAAAAATAGCACTAGGCCCGACGTCCCTCAAAGACACAGAAATTAGCTGAAGAATCTGCCAATGACCAAAATAGCATTAATCGAAGTGCTACCAGCCTCCACAAAGCGTACTAAAATGCTCATACAACATTGATTTAACAGTAAAACAGATTTCACTGATCTATTTTAACTTAAACCTGCAAATACTCGAAAATTGTTGTAAATGGAAGTTTCAACAGGATGCCCTCAGCAACTGCCTGCAAATAGTAAATTCTTCCTGTTAAAGACTAATAATAAGGATAACATTTCGAACAAAAAAAATAGGAAGAAAACAAAAAATCAGTAATAATCCATACTGCGCGATTTTCAGTAATGGCGCTCTTCACTGTTTCAGCATGCAATGCATCCACTAAAAAATAGTGCAACAGAAAAATGCTCATAAGATTGGAAAAGTGTGAATTGCTCAACAAATCAATTGTGATACAAAATACTCAGAACAGTAAAGATATCCTCTAAGTGACTATATATAAAGTTACCAAATATCAGAAGATGGATAAGCCTTTAAAGAGTATAAAACTAAGACAAGCTTTGACAATATGTGCTTACCCATTCCCATTTCCGTTGATTTACACTGGGATTTCAAATTGATCACATTCTTGCTTACCGTACGTATGAATGAGCTACTAATAATAGATAATCTCATGGTACATGCTATTTGCGGATAATATGGTGATAATCAACGAAACTACTGAGGGATTTGAAGTTTAAGATCTTGGTGTTATTGGTGTCACTGATATTGGTGTCATTTCGGGTCAATACACGTCATTGGTGTTAATTGAAGGATATGTGTAACATAGGCGTTTAAAGTTTAAGATCTTCACAAGATCAGTATCGTAGAAATGTAGATGTTAAGATGGAACATCATAATAAATGACCATAACTGATAGAGTGTACAAGTAGCGCTTACAGAGAATAAAGATTAAAGAATAAAATAAGATAAGGTCGTCTAGAATGACTTGGTTGATAGAAATGTATCACATGCATCAATATTGAGCGTAAAAAATATAAGAACTATAGACCTTCAATACTTGAATCATCAGCAACACTAAAGCACTCTAGCAGCGGATCATCGGGCAGAGAACTACAAAATGGCTGGCATGACCCTCTGCATATATATTTCATGGTGTTACTAGTCTAAAATCAAAATCACAATAATCGAATAAATTAACTTGGCACTTGAAGAACAAACCTTCGGTAGAGAAAGACTACAGAATAACCGGCATTCAGAAAGTATCTGCAATTACATTTTCATTTTGAACATCAAATGTATGTGAGTTCAAGTGTGTGCAAAGCATCAAAACATAGTATTCGTGATATACTCTGTGGATGCAGCCCCTCTATGACCGGAGCTAAAGTTGTCGATATAACGAACACATTGTTTTTCCAGAGGAACAGTTGTACCACCTGAAGTAATACACACCACCCTGTTTGCTTTTCCACTCACTGAACATGGAGACACAAAATAAAGTCAAGTGGCATCTATATTCAAAGAACAGAGAGTTAAGAGGTTAAAATCTATGAGATGTTGATTACTAAAGAAATAACAATTGCCTGATGATGAAGTATTGCGATCAACGAATTCCTTCAAGCTTTTCTCAATTTCAGCAGCATCCTTTAGTAGTGGAGCTGACTCGAAGAAGGACATAACTTCATTTTTCGGTGTTTCTCGTAACTGATTAGCATCATCAATTGCATCCATGCCGAAACTTGACAAAATGGTTTATTTAGTCATTCAATTAGATAACATACAAAACTTGAGAACCTGTCATAGATACAATCAACAGTCACCAAAAATATCCTTTAACAGGTCATTTTCTGCACTTCGAACATCATGTAGTACTGGATAATGAAACAAACATGCTGCACTTCGAACATCAAGTAGACCAAGGCCAAGGGCGGAACTAGGTAGGACCAAGGGTTCATCTAAATCCCCTTTGGCGGCGGAAAATTACTTTATTTCTACATGGTTAAACTTGAGAACCTGTCATATAACCAATCGTGTGTTTACTTCTTCATAATACGTAACCCCTTAGTGAAAATCCTAACTCAGCCACTAACCGAGGCTTAGATCAAAGGATTGAGATTTAACAACACTTTGATATGTTTCTTCAAAACTAATCCTACAAAAAATTCCATTTTACAAAAAAAATTCAAATGATAAATACAAAGGGCAAAATTTTATTACTAACCAAACATGAATAAACTCATCCTAAAATTAATCCTTTAATTAGCTATCCTTTATCCCTCATAACAAACCAGCCCTAAATTTATATAAATTGAATACCCAAAATCTTAATATTCCCAATCGTTAGCAAACATGCAAGAAAAAAGAAAAAAAAAAAACTGTTCAAAAATTGTTACCTGCGCGAAAGCTAGTTGAGAAGAATTTCTGTATATGGAGAATTTGGTGGCATAAATAAATAGTAGTACTAAAATATTCATTTTTTATATCTAATTTTTAATTTTAATACTTAATAATTAAGAAACGCCAGCTTCCGGCAGCCGTTTGGTCAGCTTTCGTCGCCGGCAATATGCTCTTTGTTATTAAAGTGTGAAAATACGTAGCAGACAAATAATTTTAAACCAAAAGATAAAAATACAAAAAGGGAACCGTATGGATCGGGAGATTGAACCCGACGTGAATCGAACATAATTGAACGGCTGCTGGAAAATATATGACGGCAAAACTATACACACAGTTTAAAGTTGTCAAATTGAATGTAAGTGAGATTATTTTATTTCATATTTAAATATAGATATTAATTAATTTTGAGATTATTTTAATTCGTATACAAAATGAAATAGTTTATTTGTTCCGTCTCACAAAACATACCAAAAGAAACTTAATAGTAGCATTATATCTCATGCAAGTAAATGAAGTAAAAAAAAACTTTGGGAGAAATTAAACAAAGAGAACACTCTAAATTACTTCACTGACAACTAAACCTACAAAACTCTTACAATTCCTCCTATTTACAATGACACTACCAAAATCTTGAAGGAAATTAAATGAGGCACAATAATCCAAATGCAACATTGCATAATATTAGTCATAGCTAGCTAGCTAGTACTCCATAATTAATAAACATACATATCACAACTAGTGGTCGAAATTAAATAAAACTGAATTTTGAGTGGCGACTCTGATCTCGTAGGAAGGATCAATTGGAAGGGACATGGTAATATTTGCCTTTACACATACATCTGTAGACAATTGGACAAGATTCAGCAATGGAGCATGCAAAGCTCACCATTACTCTCTTACAAGGGAAACAAGGTCCACAAGCATGAGAACAATCTGGTAAACTTGATCCTGTTGGATACATCTCCATTCCTAACACATCATGATCTCCTTTTTTTTCTTCCTGCAATTTCAATTTTTTATTTTTCAAATTATACATATGTGACAAAATTGTTAAAATGGTTTCATAATTGAGTGACAAGTTAAAAACACCACTTATTTTTAAACAGCGGAAGGGGAAGTAATAATTTACCTTAAGGTGGACATGGTTTTGATTGTCCTTGTTTGTTCCTTTGCCATGATAGGAAACTGAAATTTTTATAAGGAGAAAACATTTATGTATGCACATAGCAAAAGACATCAATTGCAACATTAATGTTTTTTTCTGAAAGTACTAGCAATTGTCTCTATGCTTTAAAAAAAAAAAACTAAATTGAGATATATATATATATATATATACACTTTTATTACATAGTTTATTTTACAAATGGATGACTGGATATATACTTATCGGGAATCTTAATAGTTTAGTTGATTGACTATCTGAAATTTTTGCTTTGTTGATGAGATTTTGATTATTGGTCGCTAATTTAGTCCTACAAACTATGTCACAGCTAGAGCTGAACATCTGGTACATGAGCAATTTAAATGAGGGCCCAATATTGAGAAATCGGAATTGAGATGAGTCCTACTTTAATAACATATAAAGGGGGAAAAATGGACTTAACTCAACCTCAAAAGCTAGCTTATATAGACAGAATTGTTTAAGTCATATTAAAGAGACCACTCATCCCTTAAATTAACCACCGATGTGGGACTCTTCACAAGAAAGCTCATGCCTAGTGTTACTTTCGGCTCAAACTATGTATACATATGAAAAAACACATATATTATACACACGCATACATTTTTTTTTTTATCTCCTATCTCTCATTGTTTTTTTTATTATATTTGAAAATAAGACAGGATAAAGCATAGGTTGGCACTTACAATGATATGGACGTAGGCTTTGGCTAGAGTCAACCAACAACATTAAAACAAGAGTAACTAATGACACACTCAAAATTCCAAATGTATTCACCATCTTCTTTTAAGAATCTTGAAAATTTGGTGCAAACAAAATTTTTATTTTAAAAAAAAACAAACAACTAAAAAATAGTTGGAAGATGGATATGTGAAGGAAAATATTGGACCAAACTTGTGGACTATATATATAAGAGAAAATATAATGAAATTTGAAATGAAAGAGGGGTGATTTTAATTAATGTAGGATATTGTACACCTGATGAACTTCACATGATACACGCCCATTTTTATTTTTATTTTCAAAAATTCACAGGTTTCCTTCTCTTCTTTAAACTAATCCCACTAGGTATACAAATAAAAATAATTTTTTTCTTAAAAAAAAAAAACAAGACCCAAAGTATGAAAATTTTATGATAGCAAAGAAAAGGATAAAAAGGGATTTCTAAAGAAGAATAAATTTTAAGTAGCACACTTTAATTATTTAATTTTTTATATGGGTGGCAGTGAGATTCGGACCCAGAAATTTTATTTTATTTGAATTTTGATATCATGTTAAAGTATGTAATCATCTCATTTAAAAGTTGAAGATGTTAGAGAGAACACATTTTTATCCTTTGCTTGGATTCTCGGCAACTACTACTAGAAACATTTTTTCAAAAGAAAAATTATCACGAATTAATGGAAAATTTGTGCAATAATATATGATTTTTCCACTAATTTTTACCGAGCTAGCTCACTGAAAAAATGAATGGTGAAAAACAAATTATCATTGAAATATAAGAAGCTTCTTGATTTTTACTTGTGAAAACACTATTATTTTTGTTCACTAATTCGATCAAAATATTTGTGAAAATTTAAAATAGTCATTGAATATTTTTAGTGAAAAAACAGTTACTACTCCCTCTATTCTATATTAATTGAATTTTTGGAGTTTCTTGCATTGTTCAAAATAAGTGAATTGTTCAAAGTTCAAGATGGATGTTTGAATTTTTTTCCATATTTATCATTTCCTTTAATGAGTTTGATATTTTCTAAGAGATAAATCGCACTATTTGCAAAATTATATTTATGATTTCACAAAAAATAATAGTAAAAAATATAATTTAAATTATATCCTTAAATATTTTTCTTAATAAGGGTGCATTGTCATTTGCCTCACAAATTTACTTTTAGTAGTGAATAGCGCAAAAAAAAAATTGTGTATATAGTCTGAAATGAGCTAAGGTAAAAATAGAAATTGTGCTTCTTATAACTTATTTATTTGACCAAAACAATTGGTCTTTTTTTAAAACTTGTCCTTTTTAATTGAAGACTTTAAATTCAAATGTTGCTTTTTTAAACTTGACCTTTATTATATTTAATTTTATTGAAACTTTTAAATTCATATGATATGACACGATACTATTTTTGTTTATCTCTTACTAATAATTTTCCTAACTATTGTATCAACAAATGTAGAGTGCAAATAAAAATAGTGTGAAAAGGTTCATTCAGAATCAAAGGGATAAATTTTCTTTGAATCATAGAAGATGTTACTCATTATATGGCTCACCAACTTCACTTGACTCTACTGTCTTTATGAAAGGCTCACTTTATACAGGTTCGAATCAAAACACGAGCTTTACCAAGAAAATAATTGAACGTTTTGAAATATATGTAATTTGTCCTAGTCCAAGATTTCAAAATCCAACGTCATCCCAGCCTGGAGTTTTATTTATGGATGAGCCGATTGTGATTTTTATTCTTATTATTTGAATGTATATTATTCAAGGACAAGAAAATGCCAGTATTAAAAAATGGCTATAAGACAAATATAATTAACATGAGTGGCAATATGCATTAATTTCAGTTGTTTAGTAGAACACGTACATATGTGTGATATAATTATCAAGTGTACCATATTGTTAAACAAATAGATGAAATTAGTGATAAACAAAGAAAAAGCAAAGAAGTAAAGTCTAATCTAAAGATAAGATTGGTTCTTAACCACTACAAAACGAGATTTTTTCCTTTACTAGTATCTATTTTCTTTCGAAAACTTATGAGATGCTATTTTTTAGGAAATCTGACTCTTAGTGTTTTAAAAGGAGTGAGGCGAGACGTTTTATGCAGTATGGGGCGAGATGTGAGTCTTGTATCGAGGCGCGTAAGTCTTATGGACTTACGGGGCATAGCTCATGTATATTCAATTTTATAAATTTATTACTAAGAAAATAAGTAAAAGTAAAGCTTTTATTTATTTTACAAATAAATTTTAATAAATAACCTGTAATATATAGGAAAAAAAATATTATGATTTTTATTTGAGAAATGTAATAATAACCAATAATGAAGAAAAAAAGAATTACAATTACTATTTGAGAAATATCATTACACCAATAATAAAAAATATGATTTAAAGAAAAAAAGAATTACAATTACTATTTGAGAAATATCATTACACCAATAATAAAAAATATGATTTAAAGAAAAAAAAATAAAAAAAATAAAAAGAAAAATAACTCCCAAAGCGTACGTTTTTACGCCTAGAACTTACGTTTTTAATCTTGAAGCTTATGCACCAAATTTTAGGACTTACATCCTATGAATTTATGTCTTCAATTTACACTTCGATGCTTTTTCGATACACCTCGCCCCATGACTTGCCCCAAAAATGTTTTTTTGAAAACACTACTGACTTTTATGTTATTTGTATGGATTTAGTTTGTATATATTGATAGTGTTTACACATAAAATCGTTGCCATTTTCAATTCGAAAAATGACTAACTTGTATTTATATTTAAAACCAATTCAAATTTTTAAATATTATTTCCAACTTTAAAATTAAATAAATACCTTCTTCTTCTTTTTTCACAATTTTTATGTTCAAACAAATTATACCGCAAAAGACGCAAAAAGAAGATCATTGAAGAGAGGGTCTGGTAAAACGTGAAGGTCTGAACTTTGGAATAAATGAAATTTGAGCATTTATAAATTTCCTTTTCATGCATGCCTTTAATTAATGTATATTTTCCCTCCTCCCATGTTTCATGTCTTATTAATTTACTTCACCTGCAGGAATACTCTGCCATAAATCTATACCAAGTACAATTTTTCAATTTTAAGTATCAATTAATTTGACAAAATTAAGCTCATAATATTATAAAATGTAGCTAAAAGTAATAATGTAAAACAACAAATGTAGAGAGACAAGTTTTTTTTTTCTTCAAGTATAAATATGTTTAAGTATCCATAACGTAATTTTCAATACTTTTATTTATAAAAGATCATGGAAAAAGTTAAATGGTGTGAAAGTTAATAATCGCATAATAAATAATTTCTTAGAAGTTATGAACATTCGCCGTAATTCTCTCCGTTCCTATTTATATGTCATCATTTTAGGTTTCACGTTCCTTAGAAAACTAGGTGAGTTTACTTTTGTATCCTTATTTAGTGTTCTCTTGAAGTCAAATTTCAATAAATGAACATGAATTAATTTACTTTGATTAACTAATTGGGCCAATGAAAATGAATTAATTATTTAGTTTTTCTATATTGGACAAATGAATAGTTTCAAGGCTAATAACTTTCAAAGGGTAAAATAGGAAGAATAATATTATTTATGCATTGATTTTGTAAAATGACAAATATTAAAGACCATCTATTTTTAGTAAGAATGACATATAAAAAAAAGTGACACATAAGCAATAGACCGGTAAACTTCTAATCATGATTCCAACGTCTCCCAACAAGAGGTTGAAATATGGTGGAGGGGTTGCATCTTAGGTAGGGGAGTTAGAATCTGTTTTTGTTTGCACGGATCAGGATTAAGAACTCACTTATTTATTAATTTAGCTCATTTTAATCGGCTTAGTTCAACCGATTTTATAATCGTGCAGATATGTAATTCAGGTTAACCCATGAAAATTTTTGTCTTCTTTTACTTTCTAGTTTGATATGTTTTTTTTATAGTTATGATATACAAGGAAACGCTTATTAGATACTCAAATAAATTATAATAAAATAAAAATTGAATTTAAAACATAATAAGAATAGCACGAGTTGAGTTATTATCTGATTTTTGGCTCATTTCAGCCCAACTCAATTCAACCCAAATAACATTTAAGCGAGTCATGATTCATAAACTCAACACGTTTTGACATTCTCAAATTCATCCCAAGCCGTTTATTTGACACTTCTAATCTTAAGCTTGTCATCAAAGTAATCAAGTGCATGTATTGTTTAATGGAACGATTTTTGGGACTTCTGGATAAACAAATATAGATGAAAGATTACCCGTTTCTGTAGCAACGGTACCTAGTCATGTACAATACTACAGATATAAACGTATTTAATTTATGTAAAATGATTGAAGTCCAATTATATTATGGCCAAATATTCATGGAAAAATGACTAAAGTTCAATCATATATGACCTGAAATTCATGTAAAAATGTTCCAAATTGCTTGCTTCCTTCCAAGTTGTGTGAAGTTGGGTAAAACAAGTCAAACTGCATACACGTATGTCTGAACTTCAAACCATGTAAAGTAGATTTAAAAGCGACTAAACTTGCAATAAAAATGATAAAACTTCAGCTATGACTTAAATGAGGGTCTTGAAATCAAGCCCATTAACTTGAACCACTATAGTAAGGTAAGGGCCAAGACCAGAAAAAAAAATGTAGATTCCTTGGACTCCATATATCATTTGAAGCAATTTGGTCCAAATCAACTGAGTCTAGTATCCACCTCACTCAGTCTAGATGCTTGAATAGTACTTACATATTTGGCTGCTAGTCAACAATAATTATAATCGCTAGTTAAATATACCGAAAGTATACTTGTTTGTTCATGAATTCGTTTGGCTTGATTAAGCGTTCTTTCTATTTGGAAAAAGAATTGGAACTATTGGTTAAGAAAAATACATGACTTCTTCCTATATCCTTAAAGCTTTTATGAGCAGAATTACACTATAATTGCACAGGTTGGATGATTTATTTCCTTGTACTTAGGGAGAGTTACTTAATATCTGCGCTAGTGAGAACTAACTGATTGACGAAACAGTTGAAGATATTATGGCAAACTTGCCTAAACACCAACAACAACGTACCTAGTATAATACGCAGATGTTACCCCTACCTAGGCAGGTAGTGAGATTGTTTTCAATAGATCTTCAACTTGGGAAAACACTATAGGAAGCTTGCTTAAACACCATTGTCATGAAAAACCACTATTTTCTCCCTGATTTTGATCTCCATTTCAGATAGATACCTCATACCATTGAGGTTGTGATTCTCCCAACTCAAGTTAAACTTCCAAGTAATTAGCTTCCAAGACTAAATAAGAGTTTACTGTATCATTTCAAGCACTAGGAAAGTGTAAAGGGAAAAAGAATGTTCAACTTCACATCCTTTATAAGACAAAGACTGAAGCTTTAAATGTTAATCAATAGTAAAAGGTAGGACTTAACGAACTAACTAACCATCAAGTCCTTATAAATGGATAGATTAGCGAATAATTCGATTCAAGATTTTATAGGATCAAACTCAGACAGAATAGAAGAACATCAGATAAAGCAATGTTGTAGACTTGTAGCAGAGGAAGTATTTGACTTACTCTCTTATGGAACAAACTTGCTGGTAACTGACAAAGGAAATTAGTTATCAACAAGATCTGTCGAATCCAATCAGCTTCAATTTGCAAGATTGATTTTTGCATATAGCCTACAGCAGTTCAGACTTCTCGGCAACACTGACTGTGTTTTCAGAATACAAACTGAAAACAGAAAAGCAAAAAACTGTAATGAACTATAACTGAAAACTGAGAAAGATCTCAGCACCTTTTGGTGTCAAAAATAAACAAAATCTATTAAGGAGCCACAATTTTCTTGAGCTGTTCATACAAATCAGGCATCTGATCCTTGTAGGGCTGCACAAAATAATCTACGAACTTTGTGTCTGGTAAGCTCAGAGCATAATAGAGATCCAACTTTCTCCTCTCAACCTTCTTATCGTCCAAAACTTTCAAAACTTGCATCCGAGGTACCACCCTTTTTTCCATACTAAAGGCCAAAATTGCAGGATGAGAAACCAAGTAAGCAGTTCCCAAACCAAGCTCCTTCATGAAAAGATTCAGTGCTTTCTGAATTCTAACTTCAGAGAGGCCAACACAAAAAGGTAGCTTCCGGAACATCTCAAGTATATCATCATCAGACCATCCAAAACTCTTAAAAATTCCAAACTTCTTTTCCAACTTAGACTTGTTTTGTGAGTTTAACACTTGACATCCATAAATAAAACTGGGGGAATCACGTGGAACGAGAAAATCGTTCTCCATCCTATGCAAAAAACCTTTAATCCTCTCGGGATTTTGAGCAATATAACTCGGATTTCTAAGCATGAGTTTTTTAATTCTCTCATCAGGAACACCATAGTTTTTCAACAACAATAGATTAGTCTCCATAGTATGATGAGCACGAAAAGAAAGCAACCAAGGAAATCTCTTTAACGCCTTAACTACATTTTCATCACTACCCAAAATTTTCCTGAGGAGATCAATGGTAGGTCTCAAATGAGTATCTAAACCTCTATCAACAATTTGTGAACCTTTAGCAATTACATCCACCAGGTCCGACCCGGATAACCCGAGATCCATAAGGCACTGGAATTTGGGTTTTAGGGTTTTGGAAACATCATGGTATAGTAATTTGGGAACCCTAGAAACCATTATTTTCATCTGGGTGTTGTCGAAACCATTTTGTTTCAAGAAATTGATGACTAAATCAGGATTCTTTAAGTTTTTACGTGAAGTTACCTTGGAGGATGTAGATGCAGCTTCTTCATTGGAGAATCCGAGAGAATCAACCAGATACTTCACCAAGACATGGGTCGGGGCAGGGGTTGCGGTTGATGAGTAGAGATACTGAGATCTGAAATTGAAGGAGGAAAGGAGGTCTCCAAAGCCATTGCAATGAAATATGGACCTGTGAGTTGATACAACTACAGCTTTGCCTCTGAATCTGATAAGCATTTCTTTTACAACTTGAAGAGTTCACTCCCAAGTCCTATGGCAACTTTCCAACTGTGAAACTATGTATACTTTACTTTCGAAGAAGAGAACCTCAAATAAAGGTGACCTTTTTAAACTTAATAGAGTTGAACAAGTAGATATTTACGTTTTATTTTGCATTTAACGTGGCAATAATTAGATAAGTTCGGGTGAAGTATATGGGGAGAAGTTAGGTCATCTTTTATATCAGTCACATTGTTCGACTATATGGAGTTTTCGTTTCCATTGTCTCTAATCAAGGTTCATTGTTCACTTCTCACTTTTGGAGGGTTTTACATCATGGTTTGGATATTTGACTAAATATGAGTATAATTTTTTACCCTCAAACGGATGATCAGTCCGAGCTGATGATTCAAATGTTGGAGGACATGCCTCGAGCATGTGTGATTGACTTTGGTGCTCGATGGGATTAGCACTTGTCCTCAATAGAGTTTGTCTACAACAACAGTTATCACTCTATGCCTACAACAACAGTTATTACTCCAGTATTAAGATGGCTTCATTTGAGCAACAGTTATCACTCTTTACCTACAACAATAGTTATCACTCCAGTATTCAGATGGCTCCATTTGAGGTGTTGTATGACAGATGGTATAGATCTCTAAGTGATTGGTTTGATTCAGCTGAGATAGACTCTTTAGACAAAGACTTGTTATGTAGTAAGTGTGTCTACTTGCAAAAAAGGTAAGATTTTTTTAATTTGTGGCCGGGAATAATCATTGATTATTTGTAGAATTATAAATCATTCCATTAAAAGTAAATGTGTAATTTGAAAGTTAAATTGTTTCAATAAGGGAAAGTGTGATAATCTTTTGGAAGCACTAAAAAGATAAGTATGTGCCTAATAAATAGGGACATAGAGATTTGAACTTTTTTATTTTATTTTTAATGAAATAATAATGAATAATCATACAAATATTTCTATAACTTCAATATCAGTCTTCTTAACGGGAGATGCACCATTAAAGTTAATGAAAAGCCTAGTTAGTAGAGCCAAGTTGTTTGACAAAACATAGGCATCCTTACAATGAAATAACCAAAGTAATGCAATTTCAATAACAATACCACATGTTGGATTTCAATAACCAAAAGTATGATGAAAAAGAATGTTCCAACACTTCAACTTCACATCAAAGATAAGTCAGAGACTAAAAGAGTCTAAAGTAAGGTACAATAAAAATTCTTGAGATGTCAAGAATATCAGATATCAGATGACTAGTGCAGTAACCAGAAAAGTATTCGACTTTTGTCTTCTGGAACAAACTCTCGGTAACTGCCCAAGGGAATCAGCTTAACAACAAGATGTATTGAAACTGTATAGCTTACTGCAGTTCAGACTTGTAAATATGACGAAGATGTTTCAATAAACTATGTCCTGACTACACCAATGATGTTTGGAAATACGGACTCTGTTTTAGTTGTTACCTGTTCACAATGAAAAGCAAAAATGTATTGAACTATAACTGAAAATTTAGAAAGATCTCAGCACCATTGGTGTCAAAAATAAACAAAATCTACTTAGGAGCCACAATTTTCTTGAGCTGTTCATACAAATCAGGCATCTGATCCTTGTAGGGGTGCACAAAATAATCTATGAACTTTGTCTCTGCTAAGCTCAGAGCATAATAGAGATCCAACTTTCTCCTCTCAACCTTCTTTTCGTCCAAAATTTTCATCACTTGCATCCGAGGTATCACCCTTTTTTCCATACTAAAGACCAAAATTGCAGGATGAGAAACCAAGTAAGCAGTTCCAAAACCAAGTTCCTTCATAAAAAGATTCAGTGCTTTATGAATTCTAACTTCCGAGAGGCCAACACAAAAAGGTAGCTTCCGGAACATCTTGAGTATATCATCATCAGACCATCCAAAACTCTTGAAAACTCCAAACTTCTTTTCCAACTTAGACTTGTTTAGTGAGTTTAACACTTGACATCCATAAAGAAAACTAGAGGAATCACGTGGAACGAGAAAATCATTCTCCATCCTATGCAACAAACCTTTAATCCTCTCAAGATTTTGAGCAAAATAACTCGGATTTCTAAGCATGAGTTTTTTAATTCTCTCATCAGGAACACCATAGTTTTTCAACAACAGTAGATTATTCTCCATAATATGATGAGCACGAAAAGAAAGTAACCGAGGAAATCTCTTTAAGGCCTTAACTACATTTTCATTACTACCCAAAATCCTCCTCAGGAGATCAATGGTAGGTCTCAAATGAGTATCTAAACCTCTATCAACAATTTGTGAATCTTTAGCAATTACATCCACCAGGTCCGACCCGGATAACCCGAGATCCATAAGGCACTGGAATTTGGGTTTTAGGGTTTTGGAAACATCACGGAATAGCAATTTGGGTACTTTAGAAACCATTATTTTCATCTGGGTGTTGTCGAAACCAGTTTGTTTCAAGAAATTGATAACTAAATCAGGATTCTTTAAGTTTTTACGTGAAGTTACCTTGGAGGATGCAGATGCAGCTTCTTCATTGGAGAATCCGAGAGAATCAACAAGGTATTTAACCAAGAAATGGGTTGGGGCAGGAGTTGCGGTTGATGAGTAGAGATACTGAGATCTGAAATTGTAGGAGGAAAGGAAATTTCCAAAACCATTGCAATGAAATATGGAGCTGTGAGTTGATACAGCTACAGCTTTGCCTCTAAATCTGATAAGCATTTCTTTTGCAATTTGAAGAGTATACTCCCAAGTCCTAGGGAAGCAATGTATACTTTACTTTGTAAAAAAAAAAAAAAATGAAAAGACGCGGAAATTATTAGTTTTATCCTTGAACTATTAATATACACGCCCATCTTGTAATATGAGTGAAATATATCCCTAAATTCTCACCAAGTTTAGGAGTGTTTTTCAATACTTTTCTCGATTTTTTTATTAAGAGTCTTATGCTTCTACAAGATTTTGAGACCACTTATTATGTCTCGTCTAATATCTGTGACCTCATACTTAGTCAAGTAGAGGTGTTTTTAAGGCTGTCAACGTGTCTTTTAACTTGATCTCATCTGATATCTATGTTCTCCTAGTTGTGCACACCCAAAGTTATATATGTCCTCTTTGATATCTATACCCTCCTAGTTGTGTACAACTAAAGTTGGAGGACATAGATATCAGTTGAAGTCAATTTAAAGAGCATATTTATATATTATGTTTGTTATATATTTTTTTTATGACAAGAAAAACTTGCAGCCGCTATCCTTTGGATACACACATGATAAAACTCTCGCTCTTATGCAATAACCACACATGAGAGGCTAACCCGGGACAAGCTCAACCCATTTTTGTATTTAGTTACTCCACTAATTTCAATTTATGTGACATACTTTGATTTAACATTAAGTTTTTTTTCTATAAAAAATTAAGATTTTTGAAATTTTTGATCAAAAATAATTATTGATATTTTATTTGTATGGCTATAAATCATTCCATTAAAGATAAATATGTAATTCCAAAGTTAATTTTTTTCAATTAGGGAAAGTGTGATACTCTTTTTCGAACGAACCAAAAAAGAAAAGTATATGCCAAATAAATCTGGACAAAGGGATTTGTACTTTTTTAGTATTTTAATGAAATAATAATCAATAATCATATAAATATTTATATAACTTTAATGGGAGATTCACCATTAAAGTTAATGAAAAGCCTAGTAGAGCCTAACTTGTTTGACAAAACATAGGCATCAACAGCATTCTCAATGAAATCCCACCTGTATGAATTCATGAAATAACCAAAGAAGTAATGCAATTTCTATTACATTTAGAAGAAACTACCACATGTTGGATTCAATAACCAAAGTATGATGAAAAAGAATGTTCAACACTTCAACTTCACATCAAAGTTAAGAGAAGGACTAAAAGAGTCCAAAGGTACCACAAAAATTCTTTAGATGTCAACAACATCTGATCTGACCAATTGAGTAAGCAGAAATAGTATTTGATTTCTGTCTTCTGGAACAAACTCTGAGGTAACTGCCCAAGGGAATCAGCTTAACAACAAGGTGTATTGAAACTGTACAGCTTACCGCAGTTCAGACTTGTAAATATGAAGAAGACGTTTCAATAAACTATATCCTGACTATACGAATGATGTTTTAGTTGTTACCTGTCAAAATGTATTGAATTACAAAATGAAAATTTCAGAAAGATCTCAGCACCCTTAGTACCAAACGTAAACCAAAAACTATTAAGGAGCCACCGTTTTCTGGAGTGGTTCATACAGATCAGGTATCTGATCCTTGTAGGGAAGCACAAAATACCTTATGAATCTTGACTCAGATATGCTCAGAACACTAGAAAGTGCCAAGTTTCTTCTCTCGAGCTTCTTTTCGTCCAAAATTTTCAACACTTGCATCCGAGGTACCACCCTTTTTTCCAGACTATAGATCAAAACACCTAGATGAGAAACCAAGTAAGCCGGTCCAAGACCAAGCTCCTTCATGAAAAGATTCAGTTTTTCCTGAATTCTAACTTCTGAAAGCCCAATACAATAAGGTAACTTCCGGAACATCTCAAGTATATCATCATCAGACCATCCAAAACTCTTGAAAATTCCAATCTTTCTATCCAACATAGATTTTTTTTGAGAGGATAACACTTGAAATCCATAATGAAAAAAAGGGGAGTCACGCGGAACTTGAAAATCATTCTCCACTCTATGCAACAAATCCTTAATCCTTTCAGGCTTTTGTGTAAGATAATTAGGATATATAACCACAAGTTTTCTTATTTTCTCATCAGAAAACCCAAAGTTTCTCAACAACAATCGATTAGCCTCCATAGTATGGTGAGGACCAAAAGTAAGCAACCAAGGAGCTCTCTTTAATGCCTTAACTACATTTTCATCACTACCCAAAATTCTCCTAAGAAAATCAATGGTAGGTCTCAAATGAGTAACTAAACCTCTATCAATAATTTGTACATCTTTAGCAATTACATTCACTAGGTCCGACCCGGACAACCCGAGATCCATAAGGCACTGAAATTTGGGTTTTAGGGTTTTGGAAACATCACGGAGTAGCATTTTGGGTGCTCTAGATACAATTTTTTTCATCTGGGTGTTGTCGAAACCGGTTTGTTTCAAGAAATTGATGACTAAATCAGGATTCTTTAAGGTTTTCAATGAAGTTACCTTGGAGGATGTAGAGGCAGCTTCTTCATTGGAGAATCCGAGAGCATCAACAAGATACTTGACCAAGAAATGGGTCGGGGCAGGAGTAGAGGTTGATGAGTAGAGAAATTGAGACCTGAAGCTGCACAAACCGACGCCATTGCAGTGAAATATGGAAGTGTGAGTGCCTCTGAATCTGATGAGCATATCGTCCAACGGTCTAACGTTGCAAGAGCAGCAAAAAACTTTTAAATGTTAAAAATGAATTACTAAGCTTATTGCCATTATTGCATATAAAAGAGGGGGAAAGCTCGGAAATGTCGTATTAGAAATAGTTCAAAAATGCTCTCCTTCCACCTATTGATTTAAAAATGTCCTTAACATTTTGTTTAGATTAAAAAATGCCCTTAAGTTAACAGAATTATGACATGAAATTTAACAAAACAAATGGTCAATTTTCATTGATCCACATCAAATAAAACAAATGGTCAATTATAGTTTACAATAATTACCATTCGTGACCTACTTTTAGTTATAATTATGTGATTCACATTTTAGTTAAGGTGTAGTTTTATCCTCGTTATACTATGGAGGACAAATATAAAACGTGTGGTTATTCGTATATATATTTTAGAACTCCTTTTAACAACTTCTGCATTTAGTTATCATTTTCAATCGCGAATTATTCAAAACTATTCTATAACAAGTAGTTATAATAAACTTATTGACGCTCACATCAGATGGAGAGTAAACAATCTTGTATGTGCAACTGTAGCTCAACCTAGACATAGATTTGTTCTTTGGTTAGCTGTACATGGAGGCTACTTACCAAAGTAAGATTGAGATACTTTGGAACGTATCTATAGATAGTGATGAATGTTGTTGATGTGACATGAAGATTACAGAAACACCCCTCTACCTTTTTGCAGATTGTGCTTTGACAAGTAGTTGAGATCTGGTTTATCAAATTGGTTGAGCATACAACTTGTGTAGGAGAGAATTAAAAGGAAGCACTAGAAGCATTTTAAAAAGGAGATTGTAGCAGCTATGCGAAAAACTGAACTACTTTCAATTTTGACATTGATAAAGGACATTGTAGGTACCTTGGTGTACCTCTCTCTTCAAAGAAATTGATTGCTGCTGCTTATTTGCCCCTCATTGAGAAGATAACATCTAAAATTACTTGCTGGTCAGCCAAGTTATTGTCATATGCTGGTAGAATGCAACTAATAAAAGCAGTGTTGTTTGGAGTTCAAGCTTATTGGGCTCAGATTTTCCTCATTCCTAAGAAGGTCATGAAGACAGTTGAGCAAATTTGCAGGACAGGTGCAGTGACAGTGTCCAAGAAAGCTTTTTTGTGGCTTGGTCTAATGTGTGCCTGCCAGGGGCAGCATGTGGACTAAATATAGTGAATCTATGCATTTGGAACTTAGCTGCAATTCTAAAGCTACTATGGGATATCAACAGGAAAAAGGACCGTCTTTGGGTTCAATGGGTGCACAGTTATTATATCAAGAAGGGTGATATTACCCAAGTCCAAATCCCTAAAACAGCTTCCTGGGTGGTGAGAAAGGTATTGGAATCTAGACAACAATTGATCACTCGACTACAAAGCCATGGAACACTACATCAACAACTTGGAAATGCCCAGCAGGGAGGGAAACTTTCAATCCATAAAATGTATGTCAACTTATTGCCTGTTCAGCCCAAAGTGACTTGGAAACATCTTGTTCTGCATCCAAAGATACATCCTAGATACAAGTTTATCTTGTGGCTGGCTATACAGAAACGTTTGGCAACAATTGAGAGATTGCAAAAGTTTGGTATTAATGTTCTCCCTGATTGTGCCTTCTGTGGGCAACACCTAGAAACACTCACATTTATTCTTTGAATGTGATGTGACTAGGAGGATATGGAGGAGGTTGCTACAATGGATGGGGTATAACAGACAAATACAAGACTGGGAAAATGAGGTGAAGTGGATGAGCCAAGTTGCTAGAAGACGAGGAGGTCAAGCTGAGATAACTAGCTGTTTGTTTGATATGACTGTGCATAAGGTGTGGCAAGCTAGAAATTTCATTCGATTCCAACAAAAACCTTTCCTCTCTGAAGTGATCATTAAGGATATAGTGATACACATACATATAAGAGGAAGAAATAGTATAGCATGGAGGGAGTGTTGCAGAGAGTAACACAATATCCTAGTTGAATTTCATAAGATTCTTGTTTTTCTTGTAAATGTTAGTGAATTAGCTGGTTGTATGTAGGAGCAGCTTGTCCAGGCTGCTGGAACTCAAATTGTACATGTTTTTGGTTATAAATGAAAGCTCTAATTTTACCAAAAAAAAAAAAGGACATTGTAGAAAGACGAGAGATGTTAAAATTAGTAGGAGAGCTTGTAATTATAGCAATTTTGATTCGTAGGATTATCTGTACTAGTCTGATTCTGAAGGCCTAACTTCTCGTAATAACTTTCCAGGTAGATGGTTATGAAAGTATGTGCTCCCTTATGTGTATTGGTTCCTCTTGTTGGTTATGGCAATATTCATATTAGTTATCAAAAAAAAAACTTTTCAACTTTTCAAGGTGTTTACATATAGATAAACTAAGTAGGTGTTTGGTCATAGATTCCCAATACTTTTTTATATTATTTGAAATTAATAACATTGATTTTTTGAAAGGCAGGTAAAGAAAAAGTGGACAACTAATATGGAACGGACGGAGTATACTCTGGCCAGAATGAGAAGAGCCATCCCAATGTGGATTGAGTTTCACACATTCAGCTTCAAATGGGAAAAAAGGTTCATTTGCAGACATTGCTTCAACTTGGGACCTCCTTGCACTGAAGTAACCAAAATAGTATTCCAATTACAATAACAATTAGAAGAAACTATAAATTACAAACATGTTTAATGGGAGGTAGCAATAGTTGGGATGAACGCAAACTCGTCTCGACACCATAGAGAAATACTACCGTCATGTTCCATACTGGCTACACCATTGGGCCATTGGCATCTAAATTTAGCTTTACATGCATAACAGATGAGGCACTTCACCGCCTTGCACTTTGATCAACATGGAGAAGCAAAACAAGAGCACAAACTTCAAGTTTGAATAACAATTCAGTTAGGAATTGGGAAAAAGATGATGGTTGATTAAAAACAGTCAAACACTTTCATTCATCTCACACCAAATTTCATCTACTAACGTAATACATTACGTTATACATGAGAGAACAAACCAGTCGACCAAATCTGAACCAAGACCAACAAATGGTAAGATGAAACAGTAATTCCGCCAAGTAGCTAACATTACATTGTAAAATTCAACAAAAGAGCTATCTTCTGCTCAAGTGAAGCTAAATTAAATATTGTGAGAATAGAAAGGCTTCTCATTGACTTGATCAACAATGTCCTAGAGTTGCTCGGAGTCCTTAACTATGTAAAATATGGTAGGTAATTAATCACAGAATATCCTGAGGTTTCCTATAGGATAATTCTATATGAATTTCATTATTCAAATACAATAAATCTAGATGTGGAAAATGTAGACACATATTAACTTGATATTCCTACAACTATATAGCTCGTGAGTCCCGATAAATTCAGAACGATTTTAAGATTATCATGAACTGCAAGCTATTGGAGAACTTGCACCACAGTATATTTTTTAAAGAAATTTATAATGATGGAGACAAATATCATTCAGTATTCAAGGCAGAAAAGTGTAGCACCAATAGGAATATTAGCTGGACGGCTACATGATTAAAAAAAAATTACTTAGTCTGCAAGCTCTGATTAGTAGCTCTAAATGTAACAAATGAACATCGACCAACCACTTAAGGGTTCTTTCAGCTCTGATTAGTAGCTCTAAATTTTCCCCACCCCACCCCCCAAAAAGGAAAAAGGTATGGCAGTTCCACGAAGAACAAGCTAATTAGCTACTATCATTTGCAGAAACATAATGTATATGCTTAGCACCATACTATGATGAAAACTAGCTTGCCAAGCATTTGACTAAGACTAGAGTCTATTGCCACATAAGAAGTAATTTTAGGCACCCAAACTTACTTCAGTACAAGCAATATACCCCACAAAATTATTGTATAATGAGTTAAAAGCAATATATCCTCATGGTATAACAGCAATTCTAGAGTAGTTCATTCACTTGCTTTTCTACTTAATGGAAGATATAGAACCTGCCACTTTGTGGTTCATCATTAACAAAAGACATCAAGTGAGACATTTATTAGCTAGCAACATGTTATCAAATACTAGAGATACTTGTTGAATGATTGGTGCTTTTTTTTGGAAAAGATGTAGGTCACTAGAAAGCAAATTAAGTTTGAATAGCAAAAACACTCCAATGGTATTTTGCTTTAACAGCAAAAAAATGATTATTGGCAACACAGACGATATTATTCGAAATACCAACTGAAAAAAGAAAAGCAACAAAATATCTGGATAAATTTTTAAGCAAGTCGCAACACCCTTAGTGCCAAAAGTAAACTAAAACTATTAAGGAGCCACAGTTTTCTTGTGAGATTCATACAGATCAGGCATCTGATCCTTGTAGGGAAGCACAAAATACTCTATGAACTTAGACTCTATTAAGCACAGAACAGTATAAAGACTTGCATCTGAGGCTCCACCTTTTTTCCAGACTATAGACCAAAATTAAAGGATGAGAAGCTAAGTAAGCAGGTTCTAAACCAAGCTCTTGTTAGAAAATTCAAGGAGGAAGAACGGCATTCTATATTAATCATTTTCTTTCAAACACAAAGAGGAGGAAAGTATTCTTCTTTACTTCTTCCAAATTGAAATACATAAAACTATGAATATATTGTCTTTCTGAGTATTTTCACGTTATCATGTATTTATATACCAATTAAACATAGAGAAATTTTAATATTTGTTATTATTATTATAACTACTGTTTATATATGTTAAGCTTATCTTTCACCTTTATTTTTATTTGGCAAGATGATGACATGAGTTGAGCTTAAATGGAGAAACATGGTCATTGAGGATTCATGTAGCCGATCTCAACTTGTTTGGGATTAAGGCTTAGTTGTTGCTGTATAGTTTCTCATATTATAAGCTTAACAAAACCAGGACAACATTTCACTTACTTAAAGTCAATATTTTTCCATATAGCATCCTAGCTACAGTCAAATGAGCAAAAGGTAAACTGGTAGCAACTAGCAACTATA